TTCTCTGTGACATCTTCTTACATTATAACTCTTGTCATGGTTACAACCAAAACCTTAGAGAAGAGAACACTCTAATTCGCCAGTCCCAACTTGTTCTTGTTTAGAACAGTTCTTCATTGGGAGGTTCCTTAACTCTTATAGTTATAATTGTGTGTGTGTGTGTGTGTGCAAGTGTTCACTAAACACAAATAATTGTTTTAGTGAAAACTTAAATCATCTTTTTTATTATAAAAGAGTAAATATTTTCAGCTGGATACTATAGGAAAAGGATATTGTGAATAAATAAAAAAAATGAAGAGTATCCTTAATTTTTGTCACTTTGACTTGAAATTCATAAGCTTTACTTGCTCCCACCCCATCAATACGTCCCTTCTTTTCTGTGAGCAACCCACACAGAAAGAGCCCACATTTTTGTATCCAATGATCATGACAGGAAATCTTGGGTCACAAACCAGATGGATTAGCTTGTCAGGTAAAAGGTAGGTAAATAGGTGGTGATGGATGGATGGATGGATTAGATAGATGACAGAAAGAATAGAGATAGATACAGTAGGCAACTCCATGTTCACAAGACATTTTATTTCTTGATTTTTATATTGGTTCATTAAAATTAAAAGATCAGGCCATATTGCTCAAAATTTCCCATGTAAGATCTCTGCTTCTTCTTTCTCCACCCTCTAAAGATGGACCCAAATCTTGGGCTCATTGTTTCTCAGTAGAAATCATAAGCACATCTGTTAGCATTTTCTCAAAGATTTATTTATTTTAGAGAAAGAGAGTGTGCACTCAAGTGGGGGGGCAGAGGGAGAGAGAATCCCAAGCAGACTCCATGCTGAGTGTGGAGCCTGACTCAGGGCTCAATCCCGCCACCCTGAGATCGGGACCTGAGCCAAAACCGAGTGGGACACTCAACCAACTGAGCCACCCAGGTGCCCCTCCGTTAGCATTTTTATTCTGAATCCTGAACTACTATACAGTTCCTTGTTTCTTGCTTCACTGGGCATAGGCAGAAATCCACACAATTTTTGTGTAAAGGACTTTTTACCTCAACAGACAAAGAGGTATTGACAGCTTCCTTTTTATGTTTCTTCTGGCAGTTTGGTATAACAGAAACACTGCCTTGTGGGACAAGTTTTGTGAAATCCATAATTCTTCATTATTTCAGTCAGCTTTCTCTTCATTGTAACTGCTTTGAGTAGCTCATGTAAATAGGCTGATCCTGCTTTGCATAAACACGTTGATTTATATGAATGTTATTTTGATCTCAAATTGATTGAATTCTAAAAAGAAAGACTAAGAAAAAGGGCAGTATATTATGAAGGTCTCCTGTCAAAGACAAAAAACACTAAGTCCTACATATATTCCCAGTTAGTGATGAAGAATTTCAAATTGCTGAGGTTTAGGAACAGAATATTTCTACAGAAATACAGAGAAACACTATAATACTGAGGCTCAAGTGTTTTAAAATACCATGGATTAAATCACATTTTGGAAATGGGACTCTACCCAGTAAAAACTCATCTAAGACAGGAAGGTGTAAGGTTTAGTTTTTATCTAACAACACCAACATTAAAAAGCCTTAATAGTATTCATAATATTACATCTACATCAAAAATGAAAGCAAAATGAATGTTCATAATCTGGGGCCAGACCTGTACTAAGCACTTTCTATGAATTATACTTATTTAATTTTTTTTCAACATCCCCATACCTGTACCACTGCTGTCTCCTATTGGTGCTCAGTAATTAATTGACAACTTGCTGAATTTTTATTTTATTACACCTACTTTTATTTTTCTCATTTTCTTTCCCATCCATTGTGGCCTCGGTTAAAATTCTATATGCGCTTTATTTAATTAAATAAGGAGGTCATTAGTCTGAGGGAGCTCCAGTGCTTTGAAGGCCTACATAAACAAACCAAAATCTAAGCTGGTTAATGCTTCAAGATTACAAAATCAAAACACTAAGAACAACCAATCTTAACACCGCCAATAGGCTTTGAACTGTAGCCAATCAAATAATTTCCTTTCTTTGCTTCTGCACTTTCCTTATGGAAGTTTTTCCTCTGGCTCCTGTCGTCAAAGTGCTCCTAACCACTTCCTGTTTGGCACTGGCCCATTAGAATTGTTTTTTGCTCAAATAAACTCTTAAAAATTTTAATATGCCTCAGTTTATCTCTTAACACCTTAAATCACCAACCAGAGCCCTAATCTTGGCAAAGAAATTGATATTAACATGTACACTTTATTTTGCATCCCTTCCCCAAGAATATTTTTTTTTCAAATTTTGTCACTCTCTGTGTAATAAAAAATGTTCTCCCCTACCTCCTGGAAAGATATTTGCATTAAAGGGTTGGTCTGGTCTGATCTGGATGTCCATCCACAGATGAATGAATAAAGAAGATGTGATATATATATATATATATGTCATATATATATGTATATATATTCATCAAAAAGAATGAAATCTTACCATTTGGAATGATGTGGATGGACCTAGAGGGTATTATGCTAAGCAAAATAAGTCAGTCAGAGAAAGACAAATACCATATGATTTCATCCATATGTGGAATTTGAGAAACAATGCAGATGAACATACGGGGAGGGAAGGGAAAATAAAATAAGATGAAAACAGAGAAGGAGACAAACTAGAAGAGACACTTTTAAAAAATATATATATTTTATTTATTTATTTGAGAGAGTGAGAAAGAGCATGAGAGGAGAGAGGGTCAGAGGGAGAAGCAGACTGCCCACTGAGCAGGAAGCCCAATGTGGGACTCAATCCTGGGACTCTGGGATCATGACCTGAGCCGAAGGCAGTCATTTAGCCAACTGAGCCACCCAGGCACCACATAAGAGACTCTTAACTCTAGGAAACAAACTGAGGGTCGTCGGAGGGGAGGTGGTGGGGGAATGGGATAACTGGATGATGGGCATTAAGGAGGGCACAGGATGTAATGAGCTCTGGATTTTGTATGCAACAGATGAATCACTAAATTCTACCCCTAAAACTAATAATACACCTTATGTTAACTAAATTAAAATAAAAAATTAAATAAAATTAGATTGCTTTTATAAGAAGTTTTTAAAAAGATCTTTGCAAACAAATAATAATTACTTAAGTGTAAAAAATAGAGAGAGAGAGTTTGGTTTGGACCTAAGAAGCCAAGGACTCTCTCATTAGCTCTGAAATCTGACCTCTTCACCAATAACCTCCAAGCCTACTATCCCTATGCCAAGACTGACCTTGGTCACTTTAGAGGGGACTAGAAGAGAAGCTGCAGTTGTAGTATGGTTTCCATGAAATGGTTCTCCTGTTGCAAAGACAGTGCATTGCTCCCTACTTCCCTGTGACCTATGAAAATAAATACCCCTCACTGGAGACAACCTGGACCTGTCTATCCATCCTCACAAGCTAACTTTACCTACTCCAGAACTGCAAGTATTTGTCTATGGACGAGTCCTTTAGAGTTCTTGATCCTGAGTGTCTTCCTTCTGCGTCCAGATGGCATACAGAATCAAAAGCGCAGTTTATTGGAAAGAGCAACAAGAGAGTTTATTGGAGAGCAGAATTCTCGTCTCAGCTCTTGTAACTTCTGTCACCAAGAGAGTAGCATTTTCAGAGCCTTGATTTTCTCACGGGTAAAGGGGGATGAACGCACATTCTCCAGCCACCCTCCAAAGTTGTGTTGTGAGGATTAAGTCAGATAAGGCCTGTTAAAGTGTTTTGTAAATTGTAGGGTTTACCCAAATGTGCATAATGTTTATGCACCTGGTGAGAAGAAAGTGTCAGAGCTATAAAAAGGGTAGGTTCTGCTCTGGAAGGAGGTTAGTTGTCTCTTAAAATTGGGGCTTCTGGCAATCCTATCAGCAAGGGGCTAGAGATTTGCATTTGACAGCAATCTGAGAGCAGTTCAACATCAGAAATTTTACTCTTCCAAATAAAACCACTAAAAAAGAAAAAAGGTGTAGAAACACTGATAAAAGTTGGGCCTAGGTACTAAAAATCTCTCCAATGTTTATTCTCTGGAAGATATTGATGCAAAAGTAGAAGAAACAAAAACAAAGCTAAGCTCTCACTGCGGAGTATTCTACGGTCTGTTTCTAAGCATCTCATATTTTGAATGTTCTGCATGCTTTTTTAACACTGCACACCTGGCATGTGTGTACTATAGAATCAAACAAGTTTTTCAGACTTTAAAAGCTCAGGACAAATATAAATATAAATATAAATATATATATATATATATATATATATATATATATTAGAAGACATAGTAGCAGACACTAGATGAGAAAGAAAATTTCCTGAAGTTAGATTTGCACACCATGAAAGCTTACTAAGGAATACTCCTACTCCTAAACACGCAGACAGTCTTCTTGTATTGCCATTTAGATCTATCATTCTGATTGATCACTGTGTAGTTGGCTGTTATTGGGCCTAATTTAACCCTATACACCCACACATCCATCTACTATGTCTATTGTACCTGACATTCTACAAATTACTTACTCATGCAAATGACTGACCTAAGGCAACCTTTTAGGATATTCGTGTTTAATTATACAAATGGTTCTTGATAAATAAGATTATGCATCCTTCCATATGTTTATTCCCTCCTTGATGAAAGGAAAATTTAATTTTCATGCAGATTTGGTGGGGACGGTGTTTAAGAATTGCTGAGTTTTATGTAGTCTGCAGATCCATTCAGGTTGCAGAAGCTGACAAAACCACTCTACACCCCACTCAAGAGACGAGGAGTTTTTCATTAGGCTTTAACCAGCCTGCTGCATTCTGAAGTTAGGGCTCCTAATCGGCCCGCTTTATATTCACATGGCCAAGGGCAAAAAAGAGGAAGAACTTGCTCTCCTCTGTGATTACAAAATTGCAAGATCCAAGTTTATCTCATTCTGTTGTGTTTGGTTGCTTTGGGTTGCCAACTTTTCTTCCAGCCTGAAGTTACCTTGCTTTTGAGTGGTCTTATTTATTTCTCTTTGGAGGTCTGGGCAGTGAATTCAGCAGGAAAAGCCCCCAGTACCTGGACATGGTGTAGAACTGGGCCCGCTCCCCCAGAAGGTCTCGGAGCCCCCACATTCCATGCAGTCTCTTCCACCCAAGCAGTGGTCAACATCAGCGCCCCTGGGAAGCCCAACGGAATCGTCATTCTCTACAGGCTGTTCTCCAATGCCAGTGGGGCAGAGACAGTGGTGAGTAGCAGATTACTCTGAACAAAAATCCAGGACTGGTTTGTTCTGTAAAAATAGACTATGGTGCCCTGGCCTTTTCGTCGACTTGAGACTTCTTTCTTTCCTATCTGTTCTCAATTGCCCATGATGAACTTAGCACAAAGATCCATCAGAGAGAAAGAGTGAGAGTTAGGAAACATACAGAAATTATGAAAGTATTCAGGGAGAGGAGTGCTAAAGGTATTAAAGGCTCCACAAACATAACAAACCTAGGACTTTAGGGACAGTTGATTTAATTTAATTAGAAAATGCATGTCAATGACTGGCATACAGTAAGGGGTCAACACATGGCCATTGTTGGTGGTGTAAATGTTAATATGAGAAAGAAAAAATAGAGCAAAGACTATCCTCGGACCCCAATTCTGGCATGAGAAAGTGTCTGATAACACACTGAAAACTCAGTCTTTCAGTGACTTCGAGAAAGTTCCAGCACTTTGGGAGAGAGCAGAACAGCTTGGCCAGCACAACTCTTGCTCTGCTGTTTGTGTGTTGGCACGTTTGGGGACATGAGGGAAACACAATGGACAATTTAGCGACAGCATCTTTCACACCGTGTTTTAGCGAAGCCACTGGCTGAAGGGACCCTAATAATGAACTAGACCAGTTCCTGCATTATTTATACAAAGAGCCTGAGAGTCAGCAGGATGAAGCCTCTTCTCTGTAGTTACAATGTGTAACACTCTCACATTTCTCATAAGTGTAGATTATAACACTTTGTTCACAAAAAGAACCTCATGGACAAGTTATACAGATCTTACTATGACATTATAAATTATTTAGACCAATTTAGGGAACAAATTGGGTAAGTGTGGAGAAATCCTCTGAGGTCAGAGTTCTAGGTATTGAAACACAATTTCAGAAGATAACTTGCAAGAAAAGTGGTATCATATTGAATGTTAAAGGAATATTAGCATATTTTCTACAGGGCTTCATATTCAATAAATATAGATGATGTAAATACAATCAACCCTTGATTATCCATGGTTACAAAATGATAATATTAGTAAACTAAAACAATTTCTATTTGGACTGCATTGTACGCATTTTTTTAAATAGCAGATAATAACTCTTCTTAATTATATGTTGCTTATGTGAATGTAAAAATTCATTTTCCAGTTTCTGAACTCTTTTGTTCCAGAGTTCTTAGTAAAACCACAATGAGATAAAAAATATGCTCCAAATAAACCAAAAAGTTTATAACGCAACAAAGACGATTGAAAAAAAGACTATATTTCATATATACCAACACCGCTGGGGAAGAGACGGACTTTCAAGCTCTTACATATCCATAAAATATAAAAAAATATAACATATACAAATATATAAGATATATATTTGAAGCTCTTAAATACTCACTTTAACATGGATTTGAGGGAATTTTGGGCTCAAAAAACACATGCTGATAACAATGGCAAAGTATGGACCTTCGTGAATATTGACTACAAATATAATTGAAATATAGGTTTTGTTTTTTGAAAAGGCATTTTTCTGAGGGTCACAGAATTTGATCTGTATTTTGTGTTTCTGTTGGTGGGAATGCAAACTGGTGCAGCCACTCTAGAAAACAGTATGGAGGTTCCTCAAAAAGTTACAAATAGAACTACCCTATGATCCAGCAATTGCACTACTAGGTATTTATCCAAAGGATACCAAAATACTAATTCAAAGGGATACATGCATCCCAATATTTATAGCAGCATTATCTAGAATAGCTAAATTATGGAAATAGCTCAAGTGTCCATCGACTGATAAAGAAGACGTAGTGTGTGTGTGTGTATATATATATATATATATATATATATATACACATACACAATGGAGTTGATTCAGCCATAAAAAAGAACAAAATCCTGACATTGGCAATGACATGGATAGACCTAGAGAGTATTATGCTAAGTGGAATAAGTCAGTCAGAGAAAGACAAATACTGTATGATTTCACTCATATGTGGAATTTAAAGATTTTATTTATTTGTCAGACAGAGAGAGAGAAAGAGCACAAGCAGGGGGAGCGGCAGATAGAGGGAGAAGCAGGCTCCCTGCTGAGCAGGGATCCCGATGCAGGACTCAATCATAGGACCCAAGGAATCATTGGATCATGACCCAAGCTGAAGGCAGTCGCTTAACCAACTGAGCCACCCAGGCGTACCTCATATGTGGAATTTAAGAAAGAAAAATGATCATAAGGGAAAGAAGGAGAGAGGGAAACCAAGAAACAGACTCTTAATTATAGAGAACAAACTCCCAGAGGAGAGGTAGGTGGGGGATGGGTGAAACAGGTGATGGGGATGAAGGAGTGCACTTCCTAAGATGAGCACCGGGCATTGTATGGAGGTGATGAATCACTAAACTGTACACCTGAAACTAATATTACACTGTATGTTAACTAACTGGAATTTAAATAAAAATTTTAAAATACATACTTGGTGGGCCACCTGGGTGGTGCAGTCGGTGGTGCATCTGACTTGGTTTTGGCTCAGGTCATGATCTCAGGGTAGTGAGATCGAGCCCCACGTAGGGCTCTGTGCTCAGTGTGCAATCTGCTTGGGATTCTCTCACCCTCTCCTTCTGTCCCTCCTGCTGATGCACTCTCTGTCTCCCTCAAATAAATAAATAAATCTTTATATATATATATATATATATATATATATATATATA